TCAGCTGTTGCCACTGCACCCAGCTTAAGTCCTACTCAGGAAATTGTCATTGGGGTAGCTAACATTCATATGCAAGCTCTTTCAGAATATTCACTTATTTTTTAAGAGCGCAAAAGGTTTCAGAAACCAAAATGTTTGAGAATCATTAGAAGAAAACTGACTCCAAGATACATTGTTGGGAAAAGTGCAGATTATTGTGACTGATAGCTATAAATGATACTTATTTTCTTGTATGGACATAAAATTTTCTGGAAGAATATAAAAGAAGTGAAAGTTGCTTCAGGGAGAAAGGAGTAAAAGTAAAACTCTAAACTTTTGAACTTGAATTTTAAACCAAAGAGTTCATTACTCATCACATACACACAAACAGTAAGAAAGAAAGAGATGGGGGGTGTGAAAGAGAGGAAAGAGAAAAGCAGCAAAGGGAAAGGGAAGAGATGAGAGCGAAAGGGTGTTTGAATGGCAGGGTGCTTGCCTAGCATGGGTGAGGCCCTGGGTTCTCTCCTAGCACCATCAAAAAAAAAAAAAAAAAGGATGCAAGTTTATAGTAAAAATGGTTATTATTTTTATGGCAGCGGGCTTTCTCTTGTTTTGTTTGAAGGGGAGAAAAAAAAAAACTTCATTTAATGTCCAAGTCAAATACTGTTGTGTTGAAATAATGTAATTCAACGAGGTAGCATTTTCCCAATGGGACCAAAGTCTACTGAATATAAGTTTTAAGGAGGAGCAATTTGATTGGGTTTTCAAAATGGCATTTATTTCTAGGTTCCTAGAAAAAATTGGGTTTATTTTAGAACACTTATAATTTATAGTCTTGTCATTTAAAAGGTTTTGAGTAAGTGGAAGTAAAAAAGTTAAGTGTTCTGACATTTGATTCAGTACAAAAAGTGCTTTTTAATACTCACAACCTTTGAGGCTTTGGGTATTCTTGAAAAGAATAACTAAGGATTTCAATTTTATTTAGTCTTTCTGCTGTTAAATACCTTTTGACCACTGTTCATTATTTTAACTTTTAGATAAAGTGTCCTCTTATGAAAAGGGAAAATTATTTTAATGCAACAGCTTTTAAGATTTTCTCTTCTCATATACCTGTAGAATATATTTCTTTGAATGCTGAAATATCATTTCCAGAGTTCTTTGAAGCAGTTTAGAGGAAGATGCTGCATGTGTTTCTGTTCATTAATGATAGTTAAGAGTTTGCCCATAATATGGAGCCATTTCCCCCAAGTTCTTTAGTTAACAAAGAATGCTTTTAAAAATGTTAATGGATTTTTCTAAAGTGTTAGACAAATTCAGAAAGCAATTTTGTTTACTTACTAGTTGCATAGACAAGTGCAGTGCTTGACATTTTTCATAGCACTTCTACATTATTTTTTTGATTCTCAGCAGCACATCTAGGATGTAGCACAATTGGTATTTTTCTTATTTAGTATGGAAATTGAAATCCAGAGGGCTAAATGAATTGCCCAGTGTTAGATAGCCTTATTAAATAGTAAAATAGAAATTTAGATTTAAATAAGACTAGATTAGATTTAGATTGAAAATTTAGATTTCAGTAAGACTCTGTCCTTAAAAAATACATTTCTGTGTACTGTGTTGCAGGCCCTCTGGTCAGATTGGAGATGTGCAGATGAGACACGGGAGCTTGCAGTCAGTGGCAGAGACCACTCAGTGGGAGCAGTGAGTGAGTTGCCCCATTGAAGGGCTGCGGAGCTCAGATAGAATGTGTAGGAGTGATCTGGGGTGAGTGGTTAGGGGTGGAGCAAGGTGTTGAGGGGAGAAGCGTCATCTAGAAACCCTGAAACTGCACACTGATGTCGTGGGATCTGCTAGGAGGCCCACATCAGTGCTAAGCTGGGCTCCATTGTGAGAGGGAGCAGGCTATGAAACTGGAGAGGCAGACATTGGGCCCTGATTGAGAAGTTTGAACTTTAAACAAAAGAGTTTACAGTGCCCAGAGGGGAATTTTGAATAGATACCAAAGGACTCAGATTGATCAAGGTTTGAGTCTTAGTTCTTGGGCTATAATTAGTCACCTGCCTATTTGTGAGGCCTGTTTGCCTCTTATGTGAAATAGAAAAGACATTCACTTTGCAGGCAGTTAGGAGGACTGAAAAAGAGAAATGTAAATAAAGCACCTATCTTGCACCAAGCCTGTAAATACTCAATAATGGAAGATGAATTAGGAGTCGTGGAGCCAGTTCCCCATACATATTCTAAGCTGAGTAGAACTGAAAATTATATGAGGTGAATCTTACTTTAAAATAGTACTGGAACATTTATTTCTAAAAGAGCTTAGGCAGAGCTTCATAAGTTCACAGTTCTGAACCTAATATTTAAGAATCTTTCATTTTTGCATTTCTTAATGTCCTTCTTGGAAAGCAATATGATATATGTAAGATACGGTTGTCAGGTTCTGATGGTTCCACAAGTTAGACATAGTGTGGAATCTGTTTTGCTTACATGATGTCTTGTATCATGCCCCACTCTCCAGTACCCTGAGCCAGGAGCGAATTCTTAGTTGAATACATATATCTGTAAGCTGCTAATTCTCTTTTTTTTGTTGTTTTTTGGTGGGACTGGGGTTTCAACTCAGGGCTTTGTGCTTATAATTCAGGCACTCTACTGTTTGAGTCACACCTTTAGTCCATTTTGGAGATGGGGGTCTCATGAACTATATGCCTGGGCTGGCCTTGAACTACAGTCCTCATGATCTTAGCCTCCCAAGTAGCTAGGGTAGTAGGCGCAAGCCACCTGCGTCAGGTTTATCATTTGCTAATTCTTCAATCTTAGGCATATTACTGTCCTATTTACATTTCTTCAATATTAAAATTAATTTAGAGAATATAATGAAACAGCATGTGGATGTTATATAACAGTGTCTTAGCTTGGGCTGCCACAACAAAATTCCACAGTTTGGGTGACTTAAACAACAGAAGTTTGTTTTTTTTACAGCTGTGGAGACTGAGAAGTCCAAGATCAAGGTGCAGGCTGTTTCAATTCCTTGTGAGGGCTCTCCTCCTGGCTTGTAGATGGCTGCCTTCTGACTAAGTCCTCACATAATCTTCCCTTGAGCCACATTTTGGGGGAAGTAAGCTCTTTGATGTCTTTTTTTTTAATAAGTACACTGTCCTATGGGATCAGGTCCCACCTTTTTGACATCACAGAGCCTTAATTACTTCCTTACTTAATTACTTCCTTCCTCCATAGATGCACTGGAAGACTAGGGCTTGAACATACGCGTTTTGGAGGGACAGACACATTCAATAAAGTTGGAAGTGTTCTCTTGATGGCTTTGTGTCTTGGTATTTGTAACAGTGAGTTAACTAGGAGGTGTGCATTATTCTTTATTACTGTATAGAGTTGCAGATATGTATGGACATTTAAGTTCCTAGTTTCTAACTAATGTTGTTTATAGTTGGTTAGCTACAAAGCTGTTTACAACCAAGCTAACATAGAATTCTGAATGTTACTTACTGAGCCTAAGGTGACTATAAAAATTCATTAGCCATTCTAATACTGTATTGGACCTGTACCACTTTTAATTCCCATTCTAGGCCTGAATATAGTTTGATACCTATAGAAAATGTCTGCATAATTCAGTGATGGTTTTAAATTGTACTTCATTTTTTTGGGGGGTAGGGTATGGTGTTTGAACTCAGGGCCTTGCTAGTCAGGCACTCTACCACTTGAGCCACTCTGCCAGTCCCTTACCTTCACTTTCAGTGTACCTTTTTACTCATTAAGAGAGCAAGCCTCTTTTTTTTTTTTTGGGGGACTGTGTTTTTTATTTTATATCACTAGTCTCTTATAAAGGCTTGTACAATTAGTTCCCAAATATATGATTAACAAACTATATAAAGTATACATAGAATTCAAAAAGCAATTTACCCACGTAGAAGCCCTCAGAGATTTTTTCACAGTAATTAAAAATATATACTTCTTATTTGAAAACATTTAAAAATGTTTAACATTAAATGTTTGACATTAAAGATTGTATATACTGAAGGTATTTTGTGATGGCTTGATATCACATATATTGTGTAAGGATTGCAACAATTAAGTTAATAAATTCACCACTAACCATGCTCCATATTGTACTTAAGATCTCACAAACTTAGTTTGTACTTTAGTCTAACATCTCATCATTTCTCTCATCCTTCAGCTCTTACTTATTTATTTTTTATATTTTCCTTTTCAAAGAAACCTCAGGGTTTAGTATATGAGTTCGTGAATGAATGTCAAAATAAAACTGATAATGATTTTCCCATGCTTGTCACATATCACTTAGAAGCCATTATTGGCAGGTATGTTATTAAGAACACTTGGATTAGGACAATATGCTCTAATTAGTGATAACAAAAAGCAATGATCATAATTTGAGTCACTCTATGTGCCAGGCACTGTAGTAAACATTTGACATTCATCATCTCATTTAATCTTTATAATAATCATATAAAGTAGGTTTTACTATTGCCTCGATTTTACAAACATAGGGACTTAGCCTTAGGACAAGTAATTTTCCCAAATGACAAAAAAGTGAGGAGTCAGAAAGTGGGTCCAGGTCCAAATCCAAAATCCATGTTCTTCACAACTACGTTTTTCTTGATGCTGCAACGAGGGTTCCCAGTTGACCAGTGAACGGATAACAGCACAACCTCGCCAAACACCAAGTATTTCCATTCGACAGTAAAGCCCAGAAGTACATTTACATCTCAGGCCCAGAAGGCAGTACCGCAACAACTTCACTTCAATCAAGAGCAAGCCTTTTAATGTGTTGAGGTTATACAGGTTTTAAAGATGGCTAGACGAAAGCTTAGCTTTACATTGCAATCTTGGGAACAAAAATAGAGTCTTAACTGAACTTCAGTGTATAAGCTCTTCTATATTGTGTATTGTGTGAACTTTGGATTCCTTCTTAGTCTGTTTGCATTTTAGTCTGTAGTAGCAGGATTCCTTTCTGGCTCCCAGATTGACCACATTTATGTTCTCTCTCACAGGCCAGCCCTCCAGACCTCTATATTGAAAGATTTAATATAGCTCTTGGGCAGTACATGGGAGCATTGCAGAGCATTGTGCCTCTTTTCATATATATGGTAAGTTGGAGCAGTTTCTTCTTGTTCTTAGAATGTAGAGAGGTGGGGATGTATCTAAGAACATGATATGTAGAAATGTTACATCGTTCCATAAAAAATAGAGCGATAGAACGTGCCTTCCATTTGCTGATCTCTTTTATGTGGAGTATCACGCCATAGTGTAGTTTGTAAACTGTGGTGTGTGGATTAGCCCTCTCACCCTTTTAAGTGTACCAAGTAGTAGAGCCTTATTATTAGTTTTCCTATTCAAGAGAGGGGCCCCTAGAGTCCATTATTCCATCAGTTTATTAGATTAGTGCTTGGTCGCAATGTATACATTATTATAATGGGCATACCAGTTTTTAAAATGACCTTTTCTTCATAAAATGAACTTTATTAAAACAAAAACAATACCCCAAAAACAAAACAATAAAACAAAACTGCCTCCAGCTACCTCAGATTTAAACAGCTGGGTTGGTGGCTCATGCCTGTAATCCTAGCTACTCAGGAGCAGAGATCAGGAGGATCATGGTTCAAAGCGAGCCAAGGAAATAGTTTGTGAGACCCTATCTCGAAAAAAACCCTTTGCAAAAAAGGACTGATGGAGTGACTCAAGGTGAAGGCCCTGAGTTCAAGCCCCAGTACTGGGGGGGAAAAAAGACTCTTTCCAAAAGATTATGTAACACTGTGGTTTACATAAAACCTCAGTTATTTTACAGTTAGCGTAATGCAGAAGAAACTTGGTTTTGCCATGTTTTTACCAAAGTTTATCTTGGAAAAAATGGGTAATAAGGCTTTGCTTTTGGTTTAAGTGCCAGAACTCCTTTATGAATCCTGAAACTGGTTGGAAATGTTGCCCATCATATTAGAGTTAATGTGCACCTGGCTTGAGGGGTCTGAATTACTTCTTGGCAAGGGTCAGGAAGCCTGAGAGGTAACCATATTGTATCATTTTGGTGAAATCCTTTCATCAGGAGAGTAAATATCTCAACAGATATTTTCATTTTCATTCTAGAAAACTCATTCTCACTGTTTTGGTTTTGTTGTTTGTTGTTTTGTTTTTTGTAGTATTGGGATTTAATACTGGGGCTTTGGGCTTGCTAGTCAGGTGCTCTATAATTGAACCACACCCCGACCCATTTTGCTCATTTGATTTTTCAGGTAGGGCCTCACTTTTTGTCTTTAATGGTGATCCTCCTACTTAAAACTCCCTCATAGCTGGTATTATAAGCATGCATCAGTATCCTGGCTTGATGAGATCTCACTAACTTTTTGCCTGGGCTGGCTTCAAAACTTATCCTTCCAACCTTCTTCTTCTTCTTTTTTTTTTTTTTTGAGATTGAACAGATAGTGATTTTATTTATTTAGTGCTGAGAACCAGCCCTAATGGTTAGGTAATGACCTAACAACCTAAGGTATTCTTTGGGATCCTTAGATATTTGGGAACACTGTCAAGGTTTCCCATGCCTTTGCTTGTGTTTTCTTGTCTAGAAAGCCTTCCTTTCTGTGCCTGATAAACCGACTCTTCTTTTCTGTTTCTTCATTCTTTTTTTTTTTAATTTTTTTATTCATTTATTCACATGTACATACATTGTTTGGGCCATTTCTCCCACCTAACCCTCTCCCTCTCCTTCCCACCCCCCTCGCTTCCAGGCAGAATCTATTCTACCCTTATCTCTAATTTTGTTGAAGACAAGACATAAGCAATAATAAGAAAGACAAAGCGTTTCTGCTAGTTAAGATAAGGATACCTATACAGAGAGATTCCTAGCATTGCTTCCATGTACAAATGTGTTACAACTCAAGTTGATTGATTTCTGCCTGACCTTTTCACTAGTTCCTGATCCATTTCCCATATTGACCTCTGTTGCTTTAAGCTTTCTGTATTAGTTCCGCTGCCGTGGGGACATCAAACACTTTACCTGTTTTGGGTTTCCTCCCTATCCCCATTCCTCCCGAATGTGCTCGCCTCTTAGCATGTGACCCAAATCCAACAACATTGCTGCATTTGCCCTAGATCTCCCTCCGCATATGAGGGAGAACATACGGTTTTTAGTCTTCTGAGCCTGGCTAACCTCGCTCAGGGTGATGTTCTCCAGTTCCATCCATTTACTTGAGAATGATAAGATTTTATTCTTCTTCATGGCTGAGTAAAACTCCATTGTGTATAAATACCACATTTTCTTAATCCATTCGTCAGTAGTGGGGCATCTTGGCTGTTTCCACAACTTGGCTATTGTGAATAGTGCTGCAATAAACATGGGTATGCAGGTGCCTCTGGAGTAACCTGTGTCACATTCCTTTGGGTATATCCCCAAGAGTGGGATTGCTGGATCTATGTTTAGATTTTTAAGAAGCCTCCATATTGTTTTCCAGAGTGGTTGCACTAGCTTGCATTCCCACCACAGTGTACAAGGGTTCCTTTTCCCCCACATCCTCACCAACACCTGTTGGTGGTGGTGTTGCTAATGATGGCTATTCTAACAGGGGTGAGGTGGAATCTTTGTGTGGTTTTGATTTGCATTTCCTTTATGGCTAGAGATGGTGAGCATTTTTTCATGTGTTTTTTGGTCATTTGAATTTCTTCTTTTGAGAGAATTCTGTTTAGTTCAGTTGCCCATTTCTTTATTGGTTCATTAATTTTGGGAGAGTTTTGTTTTTTAAGTTCCCTGTATATTCTGGTTATCAGTCCTTTGTCTGATGTGTAGCTGGCAAATATTTTCTCCCACTCTGTGGGTGGTCTCTTCAGTTTAGAGACCAATGATCCTCCCAGTCTTTGCCTCCCAAGTAGCTGGGATTACAGATCTGAGCCACTGTGTGCAGCCTGTTTTAGTTTTCAGTGGAGACAATGAATGTAAGTGGAGCTTAAGGATAGGGCCTATTTTGGATAAGGGAGTAAAGGGTAGGTGACTAGGTTGATTTAATTCCACGTCTGTCATTTTAATGGCATTTTCCAGTAAGTATTTTGGCTAGTTGGGTTAGGAAAACAAACAAAAAACAAAATTAAATTATCATAGCTTGGATTTTGGGTCAAAACATGAACAGCTAATTTGTAACAAATTTTATACTTTTCTGTAATGCCATTGGCTGGTTTCGTAAATTTTATGGTGAGATCCTGGGGTTTAACAAATCTGTATTATAGAAGAAAAAGTGAACTTCACCTAGAAAAATTCACATAAGGGAGGTTGGGTTGCAAAGTGAAATTTAACTACAACTTTTCACATAGCTTAAGAACTTGAATTTGTTTTATATTTATTTATGAAAGTTTGTCATGTAAATTGTTTTTATTGTCTAGTAGATAGAAATTTCTAAAACTTTGGCACTGCTTTTTTGAAGTATATTATTCGAAGAATAGTTTGAAATGTTGACCTGTTAGGGGCATAATCAGCAGACTGTCCTTTGTAGTCACAGAAATAGTATTACTTGCAAAATTAGTCTTTGTTAGAAGTCTGTCTGTGACTCTTTAAGAGATGAAGTCATTAAACTAGAAAATAGACAACTTACCAGAAAAAAATCTTGTTGGAAGATCAGAAGTCAAATAAAGATGTTACATATTTTTGTTCAGAGTATTGCAACTTAACATTATTTTACCTAAGAAGTAGTTGAATGTTCTGTTATTTGAAGAGGTGAAATAACAGTTTCTGAGTGCCTCTGAAGTTTTCATGCTATTTCTGTTTAATGGGCTGTTGTTACTTACTGAAGAATAGAAGGAGCACATTAAGATGATGTGTATTAAACCAGGCATGGGAACACACACATCTGTAATCCCTGCACTTGGGAGACTGAGGCAGGAGGATCTCAAGTTTGAGACTAGTCTGGGCTACCTAGCAAGACCCTGTCTCCAAAAAAGCAAAAACAAGAAAATCCAAAATAAAAAGCTGTACATTGAGGTCTTAAATGTTAATAGTATAGTATACCAGCAGGCCAGAACACTATAAATGCAGAAAATTTATCTGTGGGATTTAAACAATTATTGTATTCTTTGATCCTGTAAATAAAGTACAGAAGTCTCAAAGATGGGTAATTTACTTAAAGTATATTGCCAAAGCAACTTTGCTCTAAATTTTTATTTTAAAAATGTCAATTGTAAAAGTAGCTTGATAGTTGAAATGTTTATTAGTTTAATTCAAAATTAAACTTGCTTTAGATATTTACTTCCAATGGGGAAAAGAAATTTTGGGAATGTAGAATGAAAATAAAAATTGCTTAGAAAAACTGCTATAAAGATGAACAAGAAGAGGTGATTGCTCAACTGCTGTACCTGGCATCAAAATGAATGGAGAGGCTGCAGTAATTTAAGTGTTTGTCATTGAACCAGGGATAGACACACCAAGGGGACCAGAGTCCAGAGAGAGACTGCGGTAAATGTGGCAGTTTAATAAAGATAAAAGGTGACATTTCAGATCTGTAAGGAAGGCATAGATTGTTTCATAGCTGGAGTAAGGACAATTGATAGTCATTTTGGAGGTAATATGGTTCATAGTATTTTATATTGTTATTCTTTCAAACTCATGCCTGAAAGGCATGTGACTAATAGTGGCTTTTGTTGTTTGATGGTTAGGCTTTTTCTTTTTGTTTTAATTGATGTCTTTATGCATTGTTTACTTAAAATAATATTTAGTGCTTCAGTTCATTTGCCCCAATCGATACACCAAAAATAATTTATTTTCTTTTCTCAGAATAAATTTTACATTGAAACCAAGCTCAACAGAGACTTAAAAGATGACCTTATTAAGCTGTTTACGGAACATGTTGCAGAAAAGCACATTTACAGCCTAATGCGTAAGTAATTCAACTTCTTATGGGGGTGAGAGACCACTGGTACTGATCGTTGTTTTTCCCTCTTCCTCCTTCCTCCTGAGTTGTCATATAACTCCGAATTTAACATTTTCTGAGCCAGGTAGCAGGAAGCCCACATTATTTTAAGGAAGAGAAACTGAGGAATTGAAAATGTGACTTGAAGGTCACCCAGTATGCTGGGAGCTACTTAGCCAGGTCATTGGGCAGTGTCTTGTGCTTAGCCTGATACTTATTTCCTTTCTCTACCCCCATCCTCACCCCCGCATTGGGGAGAACTGTTAGGAGGTTCACTCCTAACTTTACTACCAGTGACTCTCGAAGGAGTGCAGTGTTAGATCTGAAATGGTAGCACAGAGTCCTTTCTAGTTTTTACTCATTAGTGCAGAAACCCTTCTGTAATGTGGCTGTCATTTACTAACTGTATTAAGCAAGCTTTGTAGTTTCTTGTGGCCTGCATTTTTTTCCTCTGTGAATTAGGATTTGTAAAATATTTCACATGGCTATATAGCTGGTTAGATAAGCATATTGAAGTGCCAAACTTAATCGATTACTCCTCTCTCCCCATTTCCAGGTTGCCTGGCCCTCACAGTAGATGGCATTCCATCCTACCTTCACTAGAAAAACATACCTCTCTAGGTGGAGTTCAGGGCCCCTGTCACCTAGTGTCTCAGGAAGCCTTTAAAAGTGCATATTTTATGCAGTACCCAGCAAGACATTTTAAAAGAATTTGGCATAAATTTGGATTTGCAATATGTATTTTCCTGCATTCCTGTTAGTCATAATTAGTTGCTACAACAATGAGCTTTTACCAGAATTTATAAGAGAATTGTTCTAACCTTGACCATAAACTCTGTTTTCATTGTTAATTTTAAAATTGAGAGAAGGAATTGCTAAACTTTGGGCTAGTTTTTTAGAAAGGCAGGGTGAAGATAATACATACTTTATTATTGTGTTCCCAAGAGCTTCCAGAATCTTGGGTATATAACATAACATTTTTTTTTAAAAGCTGGACAGATGTTTACAAATATTTTTTAACATTATCTCATGAGATATAACCATTTAAATATTTCCTCTCATGTTGACATTGCTTTTTTTTTTGCTTTCATTTTTGTTGTACAATATAGCACATTTTCTTCTCTGTTAACTATGTAGAGAAATGCTAGCATCTGGTAGAAATGCCTGTTTCCTTTATGAATACGTTTTTAATACTTAGTTATAATTTGAAAGTCAGCTTTATAGGGCATATGGAAAGAGGATATTCATATATTCACAAGATAATATCATAACCCATTCTGATGCGAGAAAAAAACATAAGCAGATTACTTCTTTCTTTTGTGTATTACATAGCCTGCTTTTCCATAAAAATGACACTTAAAGGTAGGTATGTTCCATGTAAGCTAAAAAGACCCTTAAGCTTCATATATTGGATAAAAGTCAATTTGTCAGGTATTCATTGAGCAGTTACTAGGCTTTGTACTTACAGTGAGGGATACAGAAAGTTACTAATAGTTATATTGGCTCTAGAACAAGGGAGCCAAAATAAACTCTACAAATGTTTTCACAGTGCTATGTTGGGTGATCATCACAAAGATTTTTACACACACACACACACACACAGTTTATATATGGTAGTAGGACCTGTTTAAGATACCTTACAAATGTTAACTTACGTAATTCTCATAACCCTATATGGTAATGGTAGGTGGTCATTACCATAGAAACTGAAGCAGAGAGATTAAAGTTAATTTAAACCAGAATAATGTAGTGATCATAGATTGATGTGATGTCTTTAGCTGTACATTTTCCTTTCGCCCCTTTACTGCCACAAAACAAGTAAAGGTATACCCAATGTCTGTGATTTTTCTAAAATCTGATTAGCAATTTTCTTTGGGCTTCACATACATTTGAAAATGCTAGTATTCCATTTATTGTTGCTGTATAACAAATCATGTAGGATTTGGGTCTGTAATTTGGAAAGGGCTTGGTGAGGCAGTTTATCTCTAGTCTGCTCAACATTGGCTGATGTAGCTCAAATGGAACTTTCAATATGACTGACTCACAGATTCACATGACTGTTAAGTTGGTATGGCTTTTGGTTTCTATTGTGTTTCCTCCTAAGAGTGAATGTCCCAAGATAGAAACAATAGAAACTCTCAGTTTATTAAGTCCTGGGTCCAGAAGCTGTGATTGTGTCACTTGCTATATTTTATTGGGTGGGCAGTCAGAGCCTAGGCTCCTAGGGAGAGGACATGGACTCCATCTCTTCATGAGAGGTGTGTCAAAAGAATATGGAGGCCATGTCTTAAACTGATACACCAGACAAAAAAAGACACCCTCCGTTACTCATGAGTAGGATATTCCATGAGGACACTGACTTCTTGCTAGTTTCCTATAGGCTTCATGATGTGATCATTTTCATACATACATACTTAGAAAGTAAAGTAGCTTATGCTTTTGAATGGTAGTAAAGTTGTTTTCCTTAGAAATTAATTTTTTACTTTGAATTGAACTGAAAAAAGCAGAACTGGTAGGATCTGTGTTAATTGAGGTATCTGTGCATGGTGTTGTGTTGGTAATTCTGAGCAAATGTGATAGTAAATATGTAGCAGTGGGATCAGTTAATGGCAGGAAATTGCAGTGAAAATGTATGTTGAATTTTGCAGTAAAAGATTTATAGTTCATTTTTCAGAGAGTTTTAAATAATTACATTTTAGTTAATTTCCTTAGGAAATCCTGCCTTTTTGTTTAGACTTTTGTTGTTTGAAATTTTTTGAAGTCATGTATTTTGAGTGTTAGAGTGAGTAATAAAAGAAACCCCTGGGTGAGACTGTAGGACTGGGGAATGAAAGAGACTCTGGACCCAGCAAAGCACTGAAGACTTTAACGTCATAACCTGGAGAGAAAGAGATTAAGACTTAAAAGTTCCTAAAGTCCTCCTCTGGCTTTAAAACTATATGATTTATTGATGTCTGGGATTACTGGGATTGTTGGAGGATGCTTGTTTCTTTAATAAACAAGGTGTTTTTAGAAGAACACCTGCCAGAGGTTAATACTTTATTAGTACCAGTTGCACATAAGGTCAGCATTTCAATGGTGATGTTTCTGGTGAAGTAGAGAGAGGACAGAATTCAAAGTGAAACACAAGTTCTTGAATCTTTTCTGCTACCAGCTTGCTCTGTGATTTTGGATAAATACTTCTGGGAGGTTGTTTTGGATTATTTTTAGCCTCAATTTCCTTGTCTTGTTTTTGGTAAGTAAGCAATGACAAAGCTTATGGGAAATTAGATCCTAAGTTCAAAGGTTTGTAAGAACTAAGCTAATTAGTACCTGCTAGGTAACTCAGCAAAAAATTCCTTTCTTCTTCCCCAATTCCAAGTTCTTTTTCCTTAAAAAGGGAAATTTAAGTGGAAAATCTTTTAAATTTTAAATACTTTCTCTAATGAGTTAGTTAGGCAGAGAGAATGCTAGTGAGATGTTATAACGCCATCTGAACTCTGATAATCTTACATTATTGAATGTAATTATTTTCAGTTAATTCATCTTAAACTAATTTTGTATGTCATCCAATCTTTGTTTTTAATTTATCATTTCTTCACAATTATCATGATTGACAGATGTCTATGATAGAGGTTGGTCACAAAGATATATACTTGGCCATATGAGTATTTGGTTGAACGTGAAGAGTCTGGGGAACAAGGCTAATGGAAAGCCCCAAGGATTGGTTAAAAACTAGGAAGATGGATTTGTAAAGAGAGAACATCAAATTTGGGTACATGATGAAATTAAAAGATCCTCGAGTACCAGAGATGTTCAGAATTTAATGTTTAGAATTTCAGTTTTAAACTGCACTTAAAAGCAAAGTGATTTTCTGTCCTATTTAACATTGGTCATCCTTAAAAATCTATCTGTGCCCATCCAAAATTGTAACTAGCTACCAAAGAGATCATAAGGATAAACTTGAACAGTACACCTCTGAAGGCCTTCATCATATAAATTCAAATCAAATTCATGGCGTGTGTTTGAAACTAGGAGTATCTTGTCAGCCAAGTAAGATGGTATTTCCATTCTTAGAAAGACAAGGATTGAGGAAAATTAGTTCATTACAAACCTGGCTTAGAGTAAAGTTGTGCCATATTTTTAATTTTTTGCTTTGTTAGTAAATCTTTGAGAGATAAAAATGAACTGTTTTTTGGTCAGTAGCATCTGTTCTATCCACTAAATCATAGAAGTTATTATCTAGAAAAATTATTCTGACTCCTTTAAAAAATTAGTAAGATGTATAGGAATAGAAAACCTAAAGGAAAACTTAACTCTTGTCATGTTCCAAGTCAGGGTTATGTTGTTCCCAAAGTGGTGAAAATAAAAAGGGGAGTCACCATGGAAGAAAAAGTAGATGAGCTGTGGAATATGGGACAATAGTTTTCTGTCTCTGATCACATCTTGAGCATTCCTAATCCAGAAGATGAGAATCCACTGTGCCCTGAAATCTGGCACTTTTTTGAGCATGATAGATTTTGGAGCATTTCAGATTTTCACATTGGGATGCTCAACCCCTATGCAAATACTCTGAAATCTGAACTGCTTCCCATCCCAAGCATTTTAGATAAGGGGTGCCCAACCTATAAAGTGCAAAGAGCCTCAAATGTGGTGATTTAAAGGAGAAATGATTGAGGACATTTATTTTTTGTTGTCTTATTCCACACACATAACAGGAGCACTTTCAGGCCACTAGGTTCATGAACACTGTTGCTGTTAGAAAGCATAACTTCTTTTCATCTGCATGCACTGACCTAGTCTGTTCTTGCTTCTGCACATCTTCACACTTTACCCATTCCATTGAGCTGCTGCACTGGATGTGTTCTAATCCTTAGTATATAAACTTGATTTGTCCTCTTGGACTGTTCTTTGTACTTGTTTACCCTTGGGTCTTAGAAATAGTAATACAAAAAGAAACTTTGATGATTAGCTCCCCTCCCTCTTTTCTTTCCTCCCTCCCTCTCTATTAAATGTTTTCTCTTTTTATTCCAGCTTTACTTTTAGAAGCCCAGTCAACACCATTTCAGGTCACACCTTCAACTATGGCAAATATTGTGAAAGGCCTGTATACTCTCAGACCAGGTAAACATCTGTCATTTCTGTTGGGATTGGACCTGTTTATTTTTTACAGCCTTATCCAAGAGGGTATTGGTTCTTTATATGTCGTATGAGGCCTAATGGTATTTGGGTTTGCTATAGCAAAAAAGATACTCATCAGTGTGAAATGTAAACCCAGAACTCTTTCTCCACTAGTGAAAACCAACTAATTTTCTTTTGTAGCACCTGTGAGGGAAATACAAGAAACATTTTGTAAGATACACTTTGGATAAAATTGATTCTAAGTGGGCGTGGTGGTATATACCTATCATCTCAGCACTCAGGAGGCTGAGGCAGGAGAATTGTTAGTTCGAGTTTAGCCTGAGCTATATAGTGAGACACTGTCTCAAAAAAATAAAAAGAATCTCATGTTTGGTTTTTTTTTTTTTTTTTGGTGGTGCTGGGGTTTGAACTCAGGGCCTTACACTTGCTAGACAGGCACTCTAGCACTTCAGCCACTCCACCAGCCCTTATTTTCTGTCTTCATTGTTAGGGTGTTTTTCCTGTACTTCTGCTCCACACTGCAAATATGCACAGGCATATGCATTTGTAATTCCACCTTCTTAGGCCTGTTGTGTAACTGGTAAGGAATCTAGAAATGATGGTAAAGTCATAGTTATTTCATGAGGATAAAAAAATGAAAGATCACTGTATTCAAAGGCATGGTTTGTAAATTATCTTAATGTACCTATCTTAGAATAAAAACGTTGTAGATTAAAAAAAAAATCCTAAGGTGCCTGTGTAAGTGTCTTCATATGCCTAATCTTATCATAGAGTTGCTTAGTCAATTAAAAGATGCTCATGAGAGATTGTAGAACTTCAAATTGCATTGTTTAATCTTTTAAGCACAAAGGATATTTTTTATAGTAATTGTCTTTTTGTAAAATTCTCTTTTTTGTTTGAAGATTAAATGAAATTAAGCATGATATAAAGAGTGTAACCTAATAAAGCATGTAAACATTAGCTGTTGTTATTTTAATTAATTGATGGTTCGGTTGGTTAATTTAAAAGACATGTAGAATTTAGCTTGCTAAAATGGAAATTAGGTGTGGGTGCTGTGGTAGACTGATTGCCACCTTTATTGGCTACTTTGAACAGCCTTCTGGAGTGTTCAGGTTTATGGTTCCTTCAGTTGCATCAGGTCTAGAGTTCTGTTTATCATTTTTAACAGGAGTTATTTGTATAATTTGTAATTTGTATAGTTATTTATACAGTTATTTGTATAATTGTATAAAGTTGCAGAAACATTTTTATGTTTCTGTCCAGTAAACTGGTATTTTTCTTTTTTTAATTTTTTCAGACTTTCATTTTGTGTCTCATGAAATTTTTTGTGTACTGGATTATGAATGATGTTTTTCTTCTTTCATGTTGGAAGGCTTCCAAGTGCAGTGTGACAAATTCTGCTTCCTAAATAGACAGCTTTCTCATAAGTAACAATAACAGAATAAAATTAATCAGTTTGGGTAGAAAAAATTTGTAGGGACATGTTTATCTAAATGCTGTTTTATCCAGTTTGAGCTCTTGTAATAGCATTTATACCACTTGTGAGGAGAATTCTATAGTTGAGAATTGTCCTTTTCAAAAGGTGAATTTTATCACAGACTAACCTTTTCCTGCCTTAGGCATTTTCAGACATACTTTTAAACATATTTTGACATTTATACATCTACTCATTATGTTCCTGGTTTATTAAAGCAATTTATTCACCTGACAGATTAAGGCTAGAATATTTTAAAAGCTGAATTTTAAGCATAAGAGCTTCTTCCCTTGAGGGGGGTTCTCAGGTGCTGGTTCTTATGCAGCTGCGTCTGACTCATTTCAGATTCCTACCCCTGATCATTGGAGATGTGGGGACCTGTCACTATTGCTTTGTCCATTCAGACTCTAGAAGCTAAATTTTGAGATAGTCACAGCAATGTTATTTTTACATGTGTTGTGTCTTCATCTTTATTTTGCTGACTGCCTGAAGTTCCACAAAGTGGCAAAAAGAGTTGACTTCCAGCACCTTTGCCTGGGTGGTTAGTGGTTCTCTATTGCACTGTAGCAATTTTTTCTAAAATTCAAGCCCTGCTTGAACTGGGCTAGTAGGAGGAACACTATGAGAGCATTTTGCCATGAGGCAGTACAAGAGGTATAAGAGGTCAGTAGGCTCTTCCTGGCATCATTTGCTTATTTGCTGTCTCGACTTAGCTGTTCTGTTGGACATTGTTTTACTTCTTTTTTTTTACTCACCATCGACCTAGTATTAGCATCAGATGTGGCCTTTTCAAACTTAGACTGACTTACATAGATGGCAGATTTTAAAGTGTAATTAAAGAGGATTGAGGACATTTTTATGGTTTCTGTATAAATAGCTAAAATGTTTTACAAAAGGGAAAATTTTAATGTTTTACATTAAAACAGTTGAAAAAGGAATAGCAATGTTGACTGAGGCCTACCAAAGAGAATACTGGTTTCTTCTGTGGACATATTGTATTTAATGTTCACTGATAGGAAGAAGAGGGAATATTGATTTTTCTTTCTTTTAATATTAACGTTTACTTAAATATGCTTATTTTTTTTCTGTTGAATTATTTGTCTCAGCTTATTTGGTCTTACTGATTTGTACAAGTGCTTTGTAATAAAGATACAAAGTCATTTTTGTCATGTCTTGTAGAAATACTTTTCTGCAACTTCTCTATTTTCTGTAGATTATCTTCTCGATCTTTTTTTGATAACCATTAATTCTCTTTTTTTAATGTTTTGTATATTTCATTCAACATGGTCACAAAAGGTTTTTGTTTCCAAAGTACTAACCAGTTATTGCTAGTCCACTTACTACATTTTCAGTCTCTCCTACCCCCGTTTTTATATGTCTATTTACTGTTTACTTCTATGGTATTCTAGTCTTGGACCAGTATATTGTTTTAATTAATGGGTAATAGGGCTGATATTTCCACCAAGCCCTTCTCTCCAGGTTCTTCCCACTCAGAATTCTTTGATAATCTCATTGATATTTTCCTCCATGTTTGATTTTCAACAAATTCCATTAAAAAGTTCCCCTAGAGGGCTAAAGGCATAAATCAAGCAGTAGAGTGCCTGACTAGCAAGCTCAAAGCCCTGAGTTCAAGACCCAGTACTGAAAAAAAAAAAAAAAAGTTAAAAATTCCCCTTAGAGGTTTTCATTAAAAATTGTTAAGTCAGTAAGATGTAAAGAGGTCTTCTTTCCTATACTATGGAGTTTTTTTTAGAAAGGAAATTTAACTTCCTTGTATTTTCCATGTATGTCCTTTACCAAAATAGGTTGTATAGTTTTTCACCCCATTTTAAATTTGGCTTTACACACACACACACACACACACACACACACACACACACACCCCTTTAAACAAAACTTGCCCTTTTCCATTTATCTGTATGATTTCCTTAAATGAGTCTTTTCTTTTCCTCACAGAGTGGGTTCAGATGGCTCCAACTCTATTTTCTAAATTTATTCCAAACATTCTCCCTCCGGCAATGGAATCCGAACTTTCTGAATATGCTGCTCAAGATCAGAAACTTCAGAGAGAACTTATACAGAATGGTTTTACCAGGCAAGTTGGCTTTTCCTTTGGTGACAAAATATGGTCATTTCCTTAGTCCTCTTTTGCTGTGGGCAGGGCAAGCAGGCCAAGGATCTTAGAAGAGAAAACTATTGCCCACAAACCAAGGTGTTTTGTGGGTAAGACAGTCACTTCCTCGTCTGCAGGGACATTGAGGATGAATTTTGAGCTTGTGGAAGCTGCTCTTCACTAAGTGGTGGGCAGTGAGGTAAGGCACCATTTAGGGTCCTTCCAGTTTTTCTCTGTCTTACTAGTTCTGAACATTTGGAGAGAACATTGTAGAAATTCTGTTATGATTTATAATGCACTTTGATGGCTAAACTAGCAAAGAAGCTTTGAATTCTCTTTCATATTTTCGTTTCTCTCTCTAAATTCTAGCTATTTATTCTTAACAAAAAGTAGAGTATCTCTTCATACATGTCCAGAAAATGTACCTTTTGCTTTTGGTATGTTACTTTGCTTACTTTTCTAAGATGTTTGCAATTTATCATGGCCATACCCCAGAAAATCTTGCCAAGTATATTTTTTCAACTAGAATAAATTAATACAAAGTTTTTGTGATTTTCTGTGGGAAAATACCTGGTTAATGTCACTAAGTCATTTAAAGGGCACAGTAATACTTTACATGTTTATAGTCTTTTCTCTTAGCACTTTTACCTGTCTTCTGGTATTTGTATCCCAGGCATGAAAGAAATTGTGAAAAGACACTTGGGCTGGCACAGTCATTATTTGTCTACAAATATTAGGTTGTGTGTTGACTCAACTTACCTGGCAAGGGCTAGGGGTAGACATTACTCCTTCAAAGTTTGGAGGCCAAGCTGAATTTCAGAGAACCAGCCTTGACCAGGCTCACTTACTCAGTCTTGACACAGGTTAGGAAAGAAAGCAGATCATTTGTTGTTGCTCCATTTGGTGCCTTTTTTGGTCCTGGTGGCATCTGTAGTCATGTGGTGAGGATGGGGGGAGGACTGAGCTGTCTACTGGTCATGTCCCTCTCTCCCTGGCAGCTCACACTAGAAAGGCTCAGAGAAACTGTAGACAGGCCAGGCAGACGCCGCTTGTGTCTCACTGGAGGAAGATGACCAGTGGGAAATGCAGGGATGTAAATAGCTTGACTCCTGAGGGTCAGGGGACTAGGTATTTCTGATATTAATCATAGTATTTTGAGCAGAAGTAGTGATACTATTTTCATGCACAGAATAAGGCCATTTAATACCATGTTAATTTTACTTATTCATTTTTGAAAACTAGTATATGACTCAAAAAATAAAAATTATTTAAAAAGTGTACTATAAGAGCTTTTACTCACAGTTGTCTCCCTGTCAGCTTTCACTCCATTAAGTAAAACCATTATTTTTAGTTTTTGAAGCATATAGGTACAAACATAAAACATGTCCTTATCCATTCCATCATGTGAATACATTACATACACTGTAACTTATTTAACCAATGCCCAGTAGTTGGCCACTTGGATTATTTTCTAGTCTATTGATACTACAGTCAGTGATGCATCGAAGAACCAAAAACGTTTCTGTGTCTTTCGCATGTATACCTAGAGGGTGAATTCTCAGAATTGGGGTAGCTGGTCAAGGGTAAATTCAGTTGCAAGTTTAGTTAGTATTATGAAATCACCCTCCATAGGGGATGTGCTACTTTGCATATCCACAAGCAAAGTTTGAAAGTACTTGTTCTTTGTGGCCTTGATTGTACACTGTTGGGAAGTGTAAAAGATCTACTTAGAATTGGTTTAGTTTTCATTTCTCTTGTGAGTAAAGGTGAGCATAGTTTTCTAGTTGCATTTCTTTTTCTGCAAACCATTTATGTCCTTTGTTCATTTTTCTATTTGTTAGTCTTTTTTTTTTCTTGATTTCTGCGAGCTCTTTCTATATTGAAGATGATTGATTCTTTGTCCAAGAAGGACATAGATAAGATACAGTCCTTAGTTCATTTTTGACTTTCCTTTTTAATGCTTTGCTTAAGTAATATGGAAGTTGTTTCTTTTGAGACGGGGGTAATATTGATGTTGGAATTCAGTGCCTCACACTTTATAGGCAAGTGGTCTACCATTTGAATCATATCCTCAGCCCTTTTTGTTTTAGTTATTTTTCAGATAGGGTCTTAGCACTTTTTTGCCCAGGTCAGATTTAGACTATAATCCTCCATGCCTACCAAGTAGCTGGAATTACAGGTGTATACCACACCCAGCTTATTCTTTGAAATAGTGACTCGCTAACTTTTTTGCCTGGAGCTTGCCTTGAGCCACAGTCTTCCCATTCCGCCTCCCAAATAGTTAGGATTATAGGTGTAAGTGCTGCAGATATACTTTACTACTTTTTTGTGTTTGTTTATTGGCAGTACTGAGACTTGAACCCGGGGCTTTGCACTTACTGGCAAATGCTCTTCCAGTTGAGCCACATTTCCACTAGTTATGTATTTTTGTGTAACTATATCAGGTTTTTGGGGTAGGGAGGGGGTTTGGTGGCTTATGTAGTTTGAATTATGGTTAAAAGTTTTCCTTCTGTATTTTTAAGTAAATGCAAAATATTCCTAGGTATGTTTTTTATGTTACTTTCTATGCCTACCATAATTTTGAAGTTAATGCATTTATTCATACTTTAGAGTGTTTTCTTTTAATTTTAGAAATGAGCTTATTAATATCCTTTAAATATCAGCCATCTGGAAACTAGTATTTCTTTTTTGTTTTTGGTTTTTGTTTTGTTTTGTTTTGTTTTTTTTTTGGGGCACTAGGGTTTGAACCCAGGGCCTTGTGCTTGCTAGGCAGAAAATCTACCATTTGAACCATGCTTCCAGCCCTTTGTGCTTTGGTTATTTTTTGAATAGGGTCTCGTGTTTTTGCCCAGTCTGGCCTGTACTGTGATCCTCCTATTTATGCCTCCTGTAGCTGGGATGACAGGTGTGTGCAATCCTGCACAGCTTTATTGATTGACATGGGTGGGCGGGGGTCACACTAACTTTGCCCCAGCTGGCCTTGAGTGGCCATTTGTAGTTGAGCTTGTAGGCGTGAGCCACTGCTCCTGGCTTTGAAAACTTGTATTTCTGTGAAGCAGATGGCCCTGAGCACCTTAAGCTCATATTCTGGAATAGGGTGCAGGACTATTTAAACATATCCAAAGACATTTCCTAATCCTAATTTTGGAACTAGAACGAGAGAGCGAGGTGCAGACTGCTTGGTGTATAGTAGTAGCTCTTACATAAGGTTTGCTTGGGATGAAATGAGTAACTGACTCTGGAGACACCATGGCACTGTTCAGCCAAGGCCAAGTGGGTCAGGGAAATGCCTTGAAGTTTTGGTGTATATTGGAGTTTATGCTTTTCTTAGTGGAGTTCTTTAATACAACTTCTGACTGAGATTTAAGTATTAGACCATATTGCAAGAGGTGATAAAATCGAAATGTTTTATTTTGCAAACTTAATTGGGCCATTTTGGTAGTTACCAACTTATCGTCTATTTACTATGGGTATTAAACTCTGCCTCATAAATTATTCTGATAGGTGCTATGTGCAGAGTTGGCCCTGCTGAAGCTGACATTCTGGTACTTACTTTTGAGCTCACTCATACAGGAAGGACCACCATGCTCAGTGGCAGCTGGAAGCCTTCCTTTGCTCTTGGGCCATTCCACGCTCTGCTTCATGCTTTCTTCAGTCATTATTTGGCTAAGATTGTTTTGGAAGAAATGGTGTCCACTGGTGCCAAAAAAAGAGGGTTTTGAGACTATAGTACAGGCTATTTAGTCCTAATTCTGTTACCGACTCTTCCAATACAAGCAGTCATTTTGTGGTTTTTGCCTAACTGAGCACATGCTTTCTGTTCAATGTTGCAAACTCTTACTTTTTTATTTAAGATAATGTGCCACTTATGTGATTATGGTTCCCAAATAGGCTGCATACTGCTTTCATGTGAATGGCACAGAGGAAGTCTTTGAAATGTTTTGAAATAATATGTGTCATCAAATATGTCCTCCTTTGCAGTTAGTGGGCAGATTTTCCTCTGAGCTACTTTTTTGTGAGACACAATCTTTATGTGCATAGGAATACTTGTTTGAAAGCCAGAATTAACATAGAAGCTCAAAGCAACATTTTCTCTTCTGAATAATGAATTGATTGAAGAAGGGCAGCAGTTTGGTATCTGCAGTTAAAATTCACATTATGGAAGATAAACTTATATAACCTCAGCTGGAGCATCCTCATCAGACTTTCCTATGGTCCCCTACAAAGACTGTTCCAAAAAGCTGGTAAAGGAAAACAAAATATTCTTCCAGAAAAAATAGGACCTGTAGAGGTATTGCTTATCTTTTAGTTGAGAGTAGTAACTCCAGAGTTGGACTTTTTTATTTAGTAGCAGGGGCCTTCTTTCTTAGGACCGCTTGCAGCATTTTAGATGTATGGATTAGGAGTATCTTTGGTATGCACCATATTTGTGTTCTTTCTTCCTGCATGCTGTTGCTTTCATATTTGTATCTTCTTCCTGCTGGTTGTGCATATTCAGTTTTTTAACTGTTGAGGGGAATGAATATTGTGTACTGAAGGTGAGGTATAAAAAGTGGCACGAAGGCAGATCTGTTCAGAGCTCTTTAGGCTGTTGTTGAAGAAAACATTGTGCAGGGTTTTCTGTAAATATTCAATCTGGAGAAGGAGCCTCCAGAAGTCATGAGGAACCGTCTCTTTGCTAGTCATGAAGAAAACTCCTCCCTCCACCTGACAGGAATGTCTGCGTGGTCTGTAGCCCAGCTGGAGAAAGAACAGGGGAAGCTTTGGATATCTGGAAGATTCTTCAAAATCTTTAGCATTCCAATCTTTAAGAATAAGTATTGGCTCTGGTGGTCAGAATATTGTGTTTTATTTTGGATAATTGAAGTGTTGGAATAGAAAATAATTACTTGGGTTAGCATATTACTAATCCATCTGTGAGACTATGAATTATTGACTAATTTGTTAATTCAACAAATATTTATTAAGTGTCTGCTGTTGCCAGACACTGTTCTAGGCACTGAGGTAGACAGCTTCTTGCTTTTATGAGACATGCTTTCTAATGTTGGCAGACAAATAGCAAATAAGTAAAAATATATATGATTTCAAGTGAAAATAAGTGCTGTGAAGAAATTAAACAATGAGATAGTGTGAAAGGCTATTGTAGCTGACATGGTCATACCTTCTTAGGTGTGGTGGAGCACCAGGAAGAGGATAAGGAACAGCCCTGTGGGTATCTGGAGGGAGGGGAGTGTTGCAGGCAGAGAAAACCCTTATTATGGAAGTGCTGACGCACCCAAAAGAACACAGAGCCAGGGAGGCTGAAGCATTGTGAACAGAGGTAGAAGTGGAAAAAATGAGATTGGAAAGGTAGGCAGGAGCCATGTCACCAGGCTAGGAAAATGAATTGGAATTGATTTTTCATTGTAAAGGAAATGAGGGCTTTAATTGTAGGCAAGAACTAATCATTTATGCACTTACATAAGATCACCCTGGCTCTTGTCTAGACATAATAAAGCTCATTCAGTTGTAGGAAAAATTGGTAGTGACTTAGATTGAGTAATGACTTAGTAGAGTTGGTTGGGAGAGGTTGGCTTGAAATTCTATTTGGGACAGAATGCTCCAGAGTGATGTTAGGAGAGGAATGGTAGAGGGCCTATGATGTTGGAGTAGAGTCAGCACTGTATTCTCTCCATGGTAAATTTGCAATGTACACATGGTGTGATGGGGCAGTTGGAGGACCTACAAATTGGAGGGCATAGAAACTAGAGCTGTGCATATAAATCTGGGAGCCACTGGCAAGCAGAGAGTATTTAAAGCCACAGGACTATTGTCATTACTATCCTAGACGAAGGAAGAATGTATGTGAACAAGAAAAGGTGACCAAGGCCTAAGTTAGGCAGAGCCATAAAAGGAGACTAGCAAGGAACACCAAATGGATAGGAGAAAGGTCAGAAGAGGCTAAAGAAAAGGAAGTGCTTGAGGAAGGAAGAGGTTAGCTGTATAAAGGCTAAGAGACTGAGGAGAAGTAGCTAGTGAATTGGCCACTTTTACTTGTTAGGTACTGAAGCTTTGGACTCTGGATATGGAAAAGCTGTTTCCCTATCAACCCTGTTTGATGGTGAAGCATAGGGCCTAACCAGAGCCTCTGTTTTCTTAACTCCAGAGAGGAACTATAACTTCCTCTGCAAGTATCTGAGAATGAGCTGAGTAATGCACATAAAGAGTCTGCAAAAAGGGTCTAAAAGTACACTAATGTTCTGAGAGGGTTCAAAGGCTTTAAGAGGTTTTGGTTTCAGTAGGGCTTTAGTGGGAGATTTTTAACTCCTCTCTGTTTCCTATTTGAAATTTGCCATTGTAAATGCAGGTCACTGGGGATAGTAATAGCACAATCCGGGATTGTCTTCAAAGACATCTGAAGATGTCTGAACCTATTTCTAGAACTCAGTGTAAACCATTGTTATAGGTGTTCCTTCCTTTAATAATTTTCTATATTTAAAAGATTAGACCCCTTAGCTAAGAATACTCCGATTACAAATGACTCAGTTTGTATTTAACCTATTTTAAAATAGGTTGTTCGGTTAGAACTGAAATATTTGCTATATTTCCCCTATCAGTTACATTGGTTCATTTCTGCTTTTTTTGTGTATGAAGAAACCAGTCAGTTCTGTTGACTGCCTCTCCTTTTCTTATCCCTAGAGGTGACCAGTCCCGGAAGAGAGCTGGGGATGAGTTGGCTTATAGTAAGTAATGATGTTTTTCCCATCTGTGATGTAAGGCAGCCACTGGCAGTAAGCAGGGGTATGTGTAGGGATAATCTAGTATTCTAGATGGTGTGCACATACAGCAGTATGTGATCAGGGACAGGCTATTCCACAAGGTATGGCAACTCGAAAGCCAGTTGTTGTTGGTTTTCAGAGCAGCTGCAAAGGCCACCAGATACTTTAATATTTGTGAGGATGGGATAGCAACCCAAGGTCGTTTCCTGGTGATCTTAGCCTGTTTTCAAAAACTACTGAGAACCACATGATTTTTAAAGATTTTTTTAAAAATGAATCCTCTTTTTGGGTGATTGGGTTAAGGGTGAGAATGTATTGAATAAACGGATTTCTACCATTCTTAAATGCTGTCTGTTCTTCACTCTCATTCCTGTTATGACTTTTTTTCAGACGGTTCATCTGCATGTGCAAGTTCCAGGGGCTACAGATAGTGAATGTGTTGAATGTACTTTCCTCCCGGAGAGAGGACACACTGGAGCTGCAGAGACTGTGTTCTGAGCACAGCAGCCTGCACCACTCAGGAGCTCTGTCACAAGGCTGTTCTTGGGAGAGGATGCCAGACTCTTACTTGGTTTGTAATTTTAAAAAACAAAGAACTAACAAAACATAAAAACAGTTGCTGCTAGACTTGGGGGTGATTTTGAAATGGGACAATCTTTTAATGAGTTTATCTACAGATTCTATGAGGAACAAGCATCTTGGAAAGTGACCATTGCTAAGTGAAATCCAACAGCCAAAATCAGCAGATTTCTCCAAAAATATAAGAACAGAAGAATTTTTTTTTTTTAAGCACTTGTTTTGTTCATTTGTGGACTTGGTACTTCGGCATATTGGTTTCACATGTCAATGTCAAGGTATCTTTTGCTTTAAAACCAAGCAGATGGTTACAATACAGTATTTTCACCCATAACCCAAACAACTCATTTTAAAATAAGAGTTATTTAGCATTAGAAAGTCATTAAAGGAAAATGACTAACTGTGCTTTCACTACAGGACCCCCCCCACCTTCAAAAATTTGACAACTTTTTTCTACTCTGTGCCTTGAGTTTTGTGCACTTTGCAACTGTATGACAGCATTGTCAAATTCACAGATGCTTACTGGAGAAGTTGATGGTATCCTAGGCCAACCCACCAAGAATTCAGGTGTTACTTTGTAGCAGGATGCTAAATTAAGTGGGAATATAGAAAGGTATTACACATTGGTCACATTTCCCCTGCTGTACCAGGGCAGTATAGGACATGTTCGTCTTAATGTGGGGACCAACTCTTGTAGAGCACTTCCATTCCTGCCATCGCCTCACCTGATCTCACCAGCCTCCGGAGTTAGGGGTGGGCAGCCCTGTAGCACCAAAGCCCACTTCACTTGTAAGTTGTAAAGAGTGCCCAACAGTAGATGCTTCTGTGACACTCTAGAGAGCAGTATAGCTATTAAAACCAAATATAATCCATGGTGTGGGGTTCCTTATCCGTTTCATTTTAATGGATGAGATAGTACTTTAAAAAGGTAGAGTCAGCTCAGCATCTTTTAACATCATAATTGCTATTTGAGTACAGTTGAGGAGCAGTCACTCTGGTGTTTGAAGGCTCCCTTCCAGCCATAGCAAATCCGTGTCTTGTTTCCCCACATCCCCAATGCTATTTAATTCTTCATAAAAGTCTCTGGAACTTAGTCCAGTTGTTTTTGAAAGGCAAAGGAGGATAGAAAGATATGGCAAGGGAAAAGTATTTTTGTCAGTTTTGTCTCTAAATGTAAAGTGAGCATAGGCTTCAGCCTGTCAAGGTTACTTCAGAGTAGTAATATTTACCTCTTCAGAGAACTTAGGGGGAAAGAAGACTCATTGTCAAAGAGCTGCCTCTGCCAATTCAATGTGTCCTATGTTAGTAGTGTGATGGGTGGGACAGAAGTGGGATATTGGGAGCAAGTCAGTTATCAAATAGAAGCCCTTCATTTGTGAAATTATTGTGCAGAGGAGTAAAAGTAAATTTTGTCAGATTTATTTTTTTAAGTACATATCAACCAGAGTGGATTTTAGAGAGGGCTTTAATTAGATTCATTTTACTCTGTGAGCATTTTGGATTGTACTGATGAACACTGGATTACTCTTAAGAACATATACAGGCTCTCACTATGACATGTACAACTTAATTTGCTATACCAGTAACATTCTAGTATCAAGGAAGAATTTCATTTTATCATGAAGCCCACATTTTACTTTTGTCACTGAAATGCTTGCTGCAGGCTTATAAGTAACACCTGGGAACCAAAGTCTCTCTTGAGGGGTTTAATTGACATTTCTGAGAGAGACAGAAATTGGAACTTTTCTTTAAACATGGGTGAATTCTTCAGTATCCTAATAATTTACCCAAATGCTTTTCTGGGAGAGAACCTTCTTATTTGGCCAACAACAGAATTTTCCTCATAAAAGCATTATGTTAGTTTGTGAATTGGCATTAAAATCTTTGGATTCTTTTGCATTATTATGTTAATGGAGAAATAGTTTTTGTATATGTGTTAACAAAAGTAGGCAAAAGAAAGTCTATACAATTTAGTTTCTCTTAAGTTTTTCGGCAGCCAGCTGTGGGTCAAGACTGGGTACCACAAAGCCATTACTGGAAGGCATTCCAAAAAGATGTATAACCTGTATGCTGTCACTGCATGTGTCCTACTTGTTAAGCATCTTGGCCCCTTGACATACATTGCAGTTTGAAAAACTTACTTAAGTTGAAATTGGTCTTGTGTATTATTACTAACAATAACAGTTATTATTGACAGAATTCTTAGTTTGCAACATGAGAGGAAATCAAATTTGATCCTCCCATTTTGCATGGCCTAAGTACTGTTGGCCAGGAAGTATTTTTTCAGTTACTTGTATTCTTCTTGCCAGTGCAGTATACACTTTTTCCACCCAAATCATTGAAGACAGAACATTGTTCATGCAGGTTAATTACTTAGTCAGCACATGCACCTTATTTGACTAAACTGTAGGACATATGTACAGCCTAAAACTAGACCCTTAAAAGGAAACCAGGTCAGTCAACTTGAAATAATGACAGTTGTTTTGAGTGATGGTATGTATTTTAAAAGTAGGCCTTAAGCTTCAGTAGCTGTCAGATCTCATGACCTTTGTTGGCACAGCTGTACCCTAATCTGGTTCATTTTCTTTGGGTTGGAAAGCAAAACCTGGTATTCTGATTCTTAGCCTAAGCTGGGCTGGTGAGAAGAAACACCAGTTTGGAAACATGACTGACTGCATTATTAAATTTTGTGGAAAGGTTACGTTTTTCCTATCCCTTTTACAGACTTGCAACAGTTGCCCTTTCATTAGGGTGAAGCTAATTTGTAGGTCAGGAACAATGCCACACTTATCTCCAGTGCTCATGCCTGTCCATCTGCCACTCCTCTTGCTGTATGCCATGCTTTCTGTCAGGTTGCAAATTTGCACACATGAAAATTCCTCAGGAAGAGTTTGCACATGCATTACCTTGCAATATTTTATACTGACCGACCATCCAAGGAATTTAAAGGTCTTAGCACAAAAGAGTAACTTCAGAGTGGTCTATACCTTCTAGCAAAGGTAATGATGATCCCAGCAAACAGAATTGGTTTCTGCAGTTATAAAGTGATCAGGAGCTCTTGTATCATAGTATTTAAATAACCTGTCAAATCGCCCTATAAACAGTAAATAACCTTCCAGATTTTGTCTTATTGAGGTTGCCTGTGTTTTGGTTTTTTCCCCCTGTCTTATTTCTATGATTTATGCAAGAGGCATTGCCCTTGAGCTAAAGTTCAATTATTAAGCAGCTATTATTAAACTAACTGAGCACTGTTTTATGAATATACACTAATCTGAGCTATTAAAAAACTTATATCTAAAAAGCAAAACAAAAAAACTGCATTAGCTATCCAACCACTGTTTGGATATTTTGAGTTGATTTTGTATGGTGTGTCCTTGAACTTTTAGCTTGGAATATTATGTTTACTTTTATCTAAGTCTAGGCCTCTTACGTAGACTTTAAAATTCAAGGTCAAATTGTGAATGCCTTGACTGACGCCTATAAGAAGCCTAGAGGACCCTTTTGGTTGTGATTACTATTTTCAATAAGATTGTGTAAAACGAAGTTCATTTTATCAGAAGTTAAAGTGGAGGTTGTAGGAGTTCATTACTTTCATTACCCTGTTGAAATTTACCTCAGTTTTAGGTCACCAGAGTATATGAAAGGAGCCCTGTTCTTTTCCAAGGGAAGTGATTCCTCTTTGGTCTCCTCTATTGATTAACTATAGTCACTGACACCTACCTTCCTCCCCTGTCTTAAGACCCAAATTTGAACCACCTTCCAGAGCCGAGTGGCACGAGTCCATACAGTTTCTGCTTATGTTGATGGAGTGGCTGTGGGAGAACTGAAGAAAATGTTACTCAGAGACCCAGATAGGACCCTGGTATATTTCACACCCTGCTGGGTAGAAGTCGGCTTTATTTCAGGCTGAACTGCATTGTTTAGAAAAATGTTAATGGGTTACAATTCTGGGACATTTATAGCACGACTCTAGGGTTAAGAATTCTGTGGTTTGGAAAAAATAAATATTTTGTATTGATTCTCACATGTCATTTCAATGTTGTGACTATGTACTAAATGCAATAAGACTGGATATTCTCTTAGAATCGTGTGTTTTGTTTAACAGATGGCAGTTTACTTGGCTGTCATTAGTCCTGTTTGTCATATTACAGTCATACATTGAGGAAAAAAGATACAAGTGTGAATCTATGGCTAGAAACAGGACTGCTTATATATAATTTGGAGATCAGATGCAGGCAAGAGGGTTTTGCCAACCACCAGCACACCCAGAACAAGGATGAAGTGATAAAGCCCAGTCTCTGGTGGTGCTTTTTATCAGAGGGTGTAGAGAGTTCAGAACAGGTGCTCTGCACATCAACTCATTCATCCACTCCAAGGAAAACAGGATGGTGGATGAAACACTTACTGACCTGGGATACAAAGCCACTGACTTTGGCTCTTTCCTTTAACCCCTGGTGAATTTTGAATCACTCCTTCTGTATTAGGGTGTATACTATCACTCTAAAACATTGTGGTTAATGAAATAAATCTTGTACAAATATCCTTGATCTTGTTATGTTATAAATCTTGTACAGAGGTACCTGTTCTCAGTAACTGGTTCACTGGAACTTCGTTATGATGTAGACATTTGATTTTGCTTACAGGGTATTCTAATGCCTCCTGTGTGGTAAACTCACTTAGCACCGATCTGTCACCACAGTTAATCAGCTGGCAAGATGGGTGTCAAGCTTGACCTCTGTGCCAGTGATAAGAAACTGGAGTTTTGTATGTGTGTGCATTCTGTAGGCATATATAGCTCCTGTGTAGGCTTATGTGTAGTTTCTTAACACAGACAATTTCTTCTGTGCACCTATAATCAAAACTGTGGCTTGGGAGTTTTTTTGTGGGGATTATACCATGCTTTCTCTAGTACTTTTTATATTTTCTTAATATGAAATTAGTAATAATCATCTGATTACTTAGCATTACTTTACAATTGTAATTTCTTTTACTAGCTCACCTAGGGTACTTT